GGGAAAATTTCTAAGGTTTCAAATTATTTTCTATTATTTCGACCGAAAAAATACGAAATATGTAAGTAACAACTCCTAAGTACCTTAATAAAAATAACTACACTGGTACTACTGAACAACGGCACAAAACGAAAAATGTCGTTATTTCACATAAAAGCATCACTGGCCTATCGCCAGTTTTTTCCTTATGCCAATATTCACGATAAATGTGAGACATGTGCCACTGTGTTGTAGTAAGGGTTGCTTACTTCGGTTTTGTGACAAATGGCAAAACTATATATAGAATTCCTCTCTTATTCTGCAAATCTAGTTAATTTTTTATTCTATGGATAAGTTTTCGAGAAATTTTCAATTTACCGTTATTCAGCTGAAAACAAAAATTGGTTCCACTTACAGGTCTATTCTGCACGTTACCGATGATTTTGTAACCGGAAAATTTTATTACCAAAAAATGCTACCAGTTCTTGTCAACGCGATGGTAATGCAGTTAAAATATTCAGCAATTCAGCTATGAAGAATTGTGCAAATTCTGGCATTGCATACTTCACGGGACAATACGTTGTTACCAGCCTATGAGATGGTAACAAAAATTACCGGTTACAAGAGTACACAGAATGCGAAAAGGGTTTAAAAATTGTCAGGAACTTTATTTACCGGTTACAAACTTTTTATTACCAGCGCAGAATAGACCTGTTAATCACGTATATCTTACGAACCAATTTAACAATTTTGATATGAAATACGCCAAATGAAAGCTAATAAAATTTTCCATAAAACACATATACATCACTTTCCGATAGGACTTATACAAATTAATAATTGATTCCAGTTTTTTTTTTAAACTGAGCAGAGAAGCGTGTTACTCAGGTGTACGTAGCGTATGAGTAATTTTCTTTCCTGCTTATTTTTCATACAAAAAATTTTTGCGTATTTTCATTTTACCACTCATTATTTCTTTACTTATCCATCGATTTTCTATAAGTAACTTGATTTTTTTTTGTAAAAGAACAGGCTTTAGCACAATTGCAAAAATTTTGCACAGAACCTGTTATTTTTTTAATTTTTCTTCTGTTAAAGTTTGATTGTTTTTAATTTTTTCTTAAAAAAAATAAAAAAACTGGAATGATTAATTAATTCGTCAGAAACTAGCAGTCCTATCGGAAAGTAATATATATGGTTTATGGATAATTTTATTAACTTTGATTTGACGTATCTCATTTTAAGATTGGTTAATTGGTTCGTAACGGTAAATTGCAAATATCTCGAAAACTTACCATAGAATAAAAAATTAACTCGATTTTCGGAATCATCCAATTCTACATAGAAAAGTGATAGTGGCGTCTGGAGAGCAAAAACCAAACTAAAATTGGTGATCCAGTATTACTTCTCCAATTTGCCCATATTTAATACATAAATGGTAACTCTTAATAAAAAATAACAACTTTTATAGTTAATTGCATGATTCCAAATATTTGTCTTTTTTAATATAACACTTACATGTTGAATACGTGTTATGCATTTGTGATATCGATAGAGGATTTTTCAGCTTTCATTCACTATATAATGGAGTTCCTAATATTGCTTTTGGCACTACTTACCACGACTTTTGCAGCTCAGCCTTCTTTTTATATAATTGAATTTTTATTCTTTTAACCTCTTGATTTAAATGTTTCCTTAGATTAAGCTGACACTTAAAATAGGTTCAAAACAGATGATTAGTCATGAAATATAACACCTGATTTCCAAACTAGTAAAATACCTTATTGATATCCTCCTATTTCGGCGAACGATTCAATTTAACTTTTTTCTCATTCCTTAAAAAATGTCAAAAAGTCAATGATAATGTCAATGTTTTGGTTTTCTTTTTGTTTGGTTTCGTAAGTTGCGTATAATCTAGCAGATGCATGAAACTATTAAAGTTGAAAATCATGCTGAGCCTAATCTTCTGAGTAGTAGTGTATATATATGTGTATGTACTTGTTTTATTTTTAAAAGCCCTTTTCTTTTGCCTTTCATTGCAAAAAATACAAATGTTTTTGATAAAATTGAAGCATTCAATCAATAAGCGTATACTCTTAAGCAACGGAAGTCTTACGCGCAATAAGTTTAAGCAAGGTAAATTTATAAATTTGTTTCTAACTCTTAGCACGACATTGGGAGTTACTACTTATTTAAAGTCACTACATTCTATTATTGCATATAAAGTATTTTTAAGATACGTTAAAAATCATATTATTACTGTTTTCTAGGCTGCATACATATAACTAAGATTAGCCAATTACAAGGCCATTATGCCAAACAAATAAACTTTAAATATACAAGTCCATCAAAACAAAAGCCTTCTTTATTGTGTTAAAAGTAGAGCTCTAGATACCCGGGTATCGAGCAATGCGAGTAGCTCGATACTCGCTCGAAAATCGTTCATTGCTCAACTGCTCAAATGCTTGCTCAAAATTTTCGAGTTTTTGAAATTGTATTTGTCAGCAGCTGCTTTCTAATTCATGTTAAATAAATTATATTATTAGATACCAATGTAACAATCTTTGCATTATACATCAATAATTTGAAAAATTTAAAAGTTGCTACCAAAAATGTCAATATAATAAAAAAAAACATTGCTCAAATTACTCGAAAAAACTCGAATTGCTCGAGCTCATGCTCGAAAATTTTCGAGTAATGAGCATTGAACAAGTGTGCGAGTACTCGCTGCTCATATACCCGGGCTGTTTGAAAATGTGCGAACAAAATCAAGAGCTCTAGTTAAAAGTATAGGATTTTGTTTTCTCTCTTGTGTGTATTTTACCCAAGTCGTTTTTGTCGTGCCTCCTTGCGGCCATAAGAAAGTGGTAGCGTAAATCGTGTGACAATTCCTTCGGGTCCGAACACATTCGACGGTATGTTATCCAAGGAATCGGATAGAGACCGTGAGTCCGATTGATCTTGTAGACTAAAATTATTAATGAATTCATTTGTTGAGGTTTCTCTATGTACATGGACATGAGATATTGTCATGCCGAAATTCTCTTGATTTCGTATAAAATATGATGAAATGCACTTCTTTAAATTGATGGGAGTCATTTTTTATGACAATGTTTACGTGATTTGTGTAAGGCTTATATCGATTTGCTTTAGAGTACATATATGTATGTATATGTATATATTTATGTTCGCTTTATGACTTTGGTGAAATGCAACGACTGGTGTTCTTTTTGTCTACCATTAGTAGTGAGAAAAAAGCAAATTAAAATATACTAATAAATAAATACTAACACCTTGAAGTAAGAAATCCCAACATTTAGTACGTATAACATGAATATATCCTAATAACATATGTATGTAGTTAGGTGCGAAAATACGAATACACAAATTTCACTTACATTTATACATTATTTACTACGTATAGAGGTTAAAGCTAAACATAGAATAAACAGATAATGAAATAAAATTAGAATCATGTTTTTTGCTGTTTTTGCAAAAGTGGACCAGTAGCTGTACATTTACGTAAAATATATCGAAAACCGGCAGGTTTGGCCAAAAACACACTCCACAAAAATTCGAGTAACTGCACTCAAAGATCGCCTGAATTTTTCATATTTTCTCACATTCCATAATTGCAACACTTTCTATAAAGATAGGATGTTCGGTCATATCGCATTAAAAAACACTGTAGCATTTAAAATAGAAGCCGGTTTTAAATTTTTACTTAATATGAATTAAAATAATCACGCGGAACGTAACCGATTACTCACATTTCATTAAAATTATTGTTAGCATCACTAAGTCCGAAAAGTTAACATTAACTCTTTTCGTTATGTTTCTACCATATATGTAACTACATACTCTGGAATTAGAAACTTCACTTGCTAGCATATATTCAATAAAGCAGACGTTCAAACATCATCCTACGTAAATTGAATTATTTTTATTTTTCGAGATACATAGTTATTGGCGACCGTAACAGGACTTTTCCTGTCATAAAAAGTGAAAAGTAGCTATTTAATTTGCGCAAATTTTTGAGCTGCAATAGTAAATTTTTTGTAAATATACTTGAGACAGTCGGGATTTGTGGGGACAACAATACGAAGCTCTGGACGATTTCATCGGTACTTCTGGAAAGTGTCTGCAGAAAATCGCAACTAACCCGCCGTGGTCAAGGTATGCAGGAGAATCGAGGTATGAAGTTCGCTCGTGGATTTGTATTTTGGAATATCACGATCACGCATTTCCATATCTTTAACACGCCCAAGAAATTATATATACATCGCTATCGTCGAGGGATTAACTTTAAGTAAGAATTTCAATGTAATAAAAAATTATACACACCTATTCTAAACGGTAAAGCATTTGGTTACATATTTTCACATTTAACATATATGTATCAGGGCGGGTCAATTTTTTCCGTAATCGTTCCTAGCAGATTTGGATTCTACATGTAATTCTAAGAACAAAAGTCATTCAGACCATAGCTCTAAAATTAATTTCGAGCCTGCGCAATTTTGAAAGAATATATCTTTAAATGATGCTAAGTTAATATGCAGATTATTGTTTACTAAAATGTTACGAATGTTTTTTTTTTAATATTAATTTGTATTTGAGGATTCTTCGATACGATGAATTAATTTGGATATCTGTTTATCTTATTTAAAGAACCGCAAAATGGCGCTACAAAGTAAATTTATACTAATTTACCTACTGTGGCAAATTTCGGGACGTTAGCATAAGCGGTTCCAGAGATAAGCGCTATGAGAATTTCAGTTTGTATGAGCGGTGCCACGCTCCCTTGCCAAAATCTACCACTCTTCGCCGTAAGTACGGTATTGACAACCAGTGTTGGCACTAATCGATTGATTTTTTAATCAATTAGTTAATTCGATTAAGTTCAATCCGATTACAGTTAATCATGATTAATTTTAATGTGATTAAACAGTTAATCGTAACCACGATTAAAAAAATTAATTTTTAATCATTAACCCTTAATTTGATTAAGTAGGTTTGGTGAATAATTAATTTATGCTAGGATTTTCCTGTGCATACAAGCCCAGTTAATCGGGTATATGGCTAAGTCGGCTTTCCTCATCAATCTAAGCAATTTGGTGTGCATTTTCTTTAAGATCTATTCCAACAGACGTTTTACAACCTATCTCTTAACATCCCTCTGCACATGTGCGCTGGGTTGTAAGAGTTCCCAGTTTGTGTATTACTAATAACAATAATTATAATTTTTTTAGATTATGTGCTCTATAAGCGTAGAACACAACATAATTACTATAACTGTTGTTTGGTTTCAAGTTCGAACAAACTAGACAACTTAATCAGATTTTCTTTTTAATTGGAATAAAAACTAATGATTTAAAATTAATTAATCGTAATCGCAGCCAGCGATTAACGATTAAAAAAATTTAATCATTAATCGTTCAGTTGATTACGATTAATTAATTTTAATCGTCAATCGCGATTAACATTTTAATCGTTAATTTTTAATCATTTATCAGATTAGCATTTTGTTACAACATATGTTGTGTCAAATTTCAGGACGTCAGCATAAGCGATTCCAGAGATAAGCCATATGATAATTTCATTTTGTATGGGCGGTGCCATGGCCCCTTTTCCAAAATCGACCACTTTTCGCCGAAAATACGGTATTGACAACATATGTTGCTGTGTCCAATTTCAGGACGTCAGCATAAGTGGTTCCAGAGATAAGCGATATGAGAATTTCAGTTTGTATGGGAAGTGCCACGCCCACTTTCCCAGTACATACCATTTTTCACCTTAAGTAGGGTATGTACAATCTATGCAGCTGTGCTAAGTCTCAGTTCCCCAGCATAATTGATTTTAGAGATAAAGTGGTTTTCACATTTTAGTCTATATGTCAGATACCACGCCCCCTAGGTATCGGGAATAACATTTCTGGATTAGAGGAAGTTATATCCTTTAATTCGATGTATGTTTCATGGAAATCGAGCGAACGGTGCCTTCAAAAAAGGGATTGCAAAATTTTCTTGTGGCGTATTTATATATAGAAGATAGATAAAATCCATAAATTTAGAAACTACCGCACACCAATCGCACGGCACGACGCAAGTGGGGCAAAAAAATAAGAACCGATTTCAAGTTTATTTTTTTAAATAAAATATAATTAAATTTCGCATCGATCTATCCGTGGCGATTTTTTAAAAAAGCTCTAGTTTTTTAATTATTTATGTTGAAAAATAAAAGAAAACAAATTTTTACGTTTGAATGCGTCCCCCTTTTTCGAAAATACTTGAAATTAACTAAATGCCTGTAATTATTTGAAAAGGATTCATAAACATTTTTCCATAGGATATATTTAATAAAAAACTTATGTAATTTGTTATACATACACTAGAGTGATTCATAAAAACACTCTTTTCGGAAATTCATAAACGCTAAATCAAAATATTGTTATTTGTTATAAAACAAGTAATTTTTAGCAAAAAAAAAGCCGATTTCAACTCTCATATAAAAAAAGTATATATATATACATATATATCTCATGATCCACTGATCGGATCTTAACCAGATTAGTATGGGACCACCTCTGAGACACTACCTTTCCGATGCAAATGCAAATTATCGAAATTGGTTGACGTGGTCCAAAGTTATGCGGTAACATACATAAAAAAATAAAAAATAAAAAAATAAAAATAAAACATAATAATAATAAAAAAAAATATTCCGACGAACTGATAACCTCCTCTTTTTTTGGAAGTCAGTTAAAAAGAGACACGTATTTTTTTTATTTTGAAAAAAAGTTTTTTTAGAGGTCTCGCTGGTCGGTTTTTTAAAAAAACGTTGATGTTCTCAATTTTTTCGTTTTCTTGACATGTTAAAATGCAGCTAAAAATGTGGTTTTTACATATAATTACTCTGGTATTATTGGGGAGTGTTCCCTTAATTACATACTTGTCTTGGGCGGTTAGCATGGCCCTAGTGCCCGAAAATATGCTCTCGAAAAGATACTAGTAAAATTAAAACGCTGATACTGAGCGATTTACGTGTCGTCATTGGTTGGAACTTGTTTCCGGGGAGATTCTGGGGTTGGTAATTATGAATCTGAAGTCAGTTTTTCAAAATTCAAAATGGCGGATCCAAATTTTTTTTAATGGTTGGATTTGTTCGAAAAGCGGCACCCGAGGGTTTTTGGGGTCGCCGATCACGAATCTTACGTCAATTTTTTTTTATTCAAAATGGCGGATCCGATATGGCGATCAAATTATAAAATATTTTAATTAATACTGAACATGTTAAACATTGTCAAGGGTTGAAACTCGTTTCCAGTGGTTTCTGGGGTTGCTAATTACGNCTTTTAATGGTTGGATTTGTTCGAAAAGCGGCACCCGAGGGTTTTTGGGGTCGACGATCACGAATCTTACGTCAATTTTTTTTTATTCAAAATGGCGGATCCGATATGGCGATCAAATTATAAAATATTTTAGTTAATACTGAACATGTTAAACATTGTCAAGGGTTGAAACTCGTTTCCAGTGGTTTCTGGGGTTGCTAATTACGAATATGATGTCAGATTTTCAAAATTCAAAATGGCGGTTAAGAGTTTCACAAAAATCCAATCTTTTTTGTTTTAAGTTAGTAGCCATTTTGGATCCACCATTTTGAATTTTGAAAATCTGACATCAGATTCCTAATCAGCAACCCCAGAAACCCTCTGGAAGCGAGTTTAAATCCTTGACAATGCTTAAAACGTCCCTCGCTAGGGCAGGCACCTTGCCGTTGGTGCGGGGGCTTAGCTAAATCGCCGACCAGCCCCTTTCTGGTCTGGGGCATCGTTGACGCGCTCGTCGCTTCTGCGCTGCCTTTTCTCCAGACTTGGGCTGCCGGTGAACGGTGACCAAGAACTGTCACCTCCTAATCCAGGGTGTGACGCGACACCGTGCCTATTGGACAGTTTGCAGCCAGGAGGGTGTA